AACCATTGCGTGCAGATCTACCTTCATTTTAAACTTAATTATAATAATTTATTGATAGTTACACTTTTTCAGGTGTCCAGATCACTATAAAGGTGTGTATATAATTTGATTACAAACTTATGTTTACACTGACATTCCCAAACACTTACATATTGAACTTGTCTTCTCAATATAAAGAAAAAAAATGTTCAGATTAATGTTAACTACAATTGGTTATTTAATTGTAAAAAAATCGTTTACGTTGCTCATCTGTCTCATCATGGTTTTTGGCGCATTACTAACAGTTATCATTGTTTTTCAGGCCTTAATAATGAGGACATATCAACAGATTGTCATTGGAACGGCGGTTGCTGCAGACCTTTTTGTATACATGGAGAAATAGAAATCAGTTTTTCATGCCAAACTAAGGACAAAGAGGGCAATCTAATCTCATCAAACTGTGTTTGTTGTAAAGTTGAAGATAAAGGTAAGAACAAAACCAATAACTGCATGAACCTCATAACAGTGGACAAACAGATCAAATCGAGTGTTTCAACGACATATTGTTAGGGTGTACACAATGGTATACTAAACACATTAATGTCTTCCATTTGGTAACCAGATGTTTGTTTTAGTTTACTCTACTGAAATGAAGTGGATTTTCCAGTACAATTTATTTTACTTTTTTCCGATCACCACTTGCCGCTCGAACTGACGTTGCCAATATGTTTTATTTACAGAGGTCATACCACATTACGGAAAACGTAAGATTTAAATTAAATGTTTTGTTCTTTATGAAAAATGTTTCAGCAACATACATTTTAATTTTAAAATAATGATTGCAGCTATAACTAGAAACGAAACATTGATAGTATTGATTATGTACGTCATACTGACATATATTCTTCTTTTTCCTTTCACCTAATACATGATAACACATTATGACAAGATAAATTAATATAAATTAAACATGAATACAAATATGGCCATATTTATACATTGGTATTTGTTATAATATTAGGCAGTAAACATTACATATGATTTTTATAAATTCGAATAAAGTAGTATTTTACATATTTATTTATTGCTGCCTATAACAATTTAAAGTCACATTTGCTCACAATGTTGTCTACACAGGTGACTAGTAAAATATAGATAAAAGATCTAAATAATAATTACATCATTTATGTATAATTGATCAACTAATGTCTCTTTTTTTCTTGTAGCGGGAGAAAAATATGATCCACATTATAAAACGCTTGACAGTCTTACGTATACTTTCGATGGCCACTGTTCTTACATACTGATGAGAGAGTGCAGTAATTATTTGGAAACTCCTCGTTTTACTGTCATCGCTAAACATGATTTAATGGAAAGTCTAAGAAGAAAATTAAAAGCGTATATTGACAGCGTATCTATCATCATGGGTACATTCCGAGCTGATTTACTGCACGGCAATTTAGTTTCCGTAGGTTTATTTTTGTTGATACACGTGACCTGACTTTGAATTTGTAATTTATATGTAATAAAAACTTATTAACCGCAAAAAATAATATATATATATAGATATAGATATTATATTTTTACAGATCAATAATCGACCTGCAATTCATATTCATGATTTGAGAGAATGGAACGATACAGATAAAGGCATCTATATAACACCAGATCAGGGCATGGCTAAAGTTGACGTTCCTGGAGAATTCACCGTATGGTTTAATGGCAATGGCCGTTGCGAGGTAGCCATTGATACACAGTATCACGGGAAAGTGTGTGGTTTACTTGGCAACGCAAATGACGATCCTGATGATGATTTACAAAAACTTACATCCGATGGATTGAAATTGGTCACTGATGTGAATGAATTTGCTAATAGTTGGGCTGTGCCAAAGAGGTGAGTACTCACGAATACGAGCACACTATTGCCGCGGTACCAAACATTCAGTGATTTTGCCTAAAGCAAGAGAGCCACAAACACTATTATTAGTCTTAAATAGTGTTCTATAATTCCAGTCGTCACAGTATTCCTATTATAAGTAAAATGTTTTTTATGGTGGTTGTATATCGTGCTTGCTGATTTATGCTGATTTCTTGCTTATTTATAA